TCTCACACATGCTTGTGCAAATTTCTTTACTTGGGAACGAATCTTCAAAATGCAGTACCGTTGTTTCAAGTTATTGATAACTGTTTCTAATCCTTGATGAGCGTTAGCATTGTGGAACGTCTGGATCAGCAGGTTGATGAAATGATGGTTGTCCGATAGTATTACGGGATTGTTCACATCGAACGGTTTACTTTCGTCTTGAATGCGACGTTTCATCCTTATAATTCCGTTAACCAGAACGGGTGAGTAAGCTAACAATCGGCTTGACTTTTTCACAATGCCAGTCGTCCTTAAGCTGTTGATTTCATCATGGAACGCTTCTTTCTGTACTATTTTATACCACAGGTTTCTTGCTTCAGCCATATCGTGCACGTTGATCGAAAATTTCTTCGGTTTGTTCCTTTTTGGACTGCCAAGAATTTTTCTCATCTTCAGATAATAGGCTGTTGATCTTATCAAACGGTAGTAATCCGAAAATCTGCTAATGTCAGGCATATCCATAACATCTTCTTCACAAACATGATGACAGACCAATTCTTCTTCAGCTTCGATTTCCACATGATAGTTCACGGATTCGTTTGATGACATTGTTTCACATTTTTGGTTTGGCCATTCACTTTGATTGTGCTTCAAAAACTCTGGACCACTCAGCCATTTAGCGATGTTTGCGAACTTAGAGGACTTTGTAGCGAGGTCAGCAACGTTCAAATGCGATGGTATCCAATTCCACACTCTAGTGTTGTGTATGTGTATGTATGTAAAGGATACCACTCATTGTTGCAAGGCACAGCCATTAGACAGTGGATCATCCTCCAAGTATGACTTGATCAAGTACGATACCTGGTTGTATTCAATTTACCATTGTAAGAAGGGCCAAAAACGGAGGGGCGGACCCGTAAGCAGATACACTTACGCGCAATCCGCGGGATCAGGAGAATCGCCTTCCAATGATAAAATCCTACAACCCGATGTAGAACAAGCCATCATACGAGGGAACGTCCCAATGAGTGGGGAGAAGAGCCCGCCGTCAATTCACGAAATGTTAATGACAGGGAGTTGGCAATTCCACTCTCCCCATCCAAATCGCTTCAATCCGGTGCCCTGGTGGTCCCATCCCTCCCCTTTGCATTTAATGTGTGTATATATATGTATTTTTAATATCGGCATTACCCGTTAGATTTTGTCAGCACAATTTTGCCTTCTTAGCTTTCCAAAATCTTTAATAAATGCAAATCTTATCATCTGACCTATTCCGCGAGTCGTGCGAATCTCCACCACCAATGAGTCAACAAAAGTCACGCACTAGTGGGGTGACTCTCCGTGCAATCAAATGAAGAGTCACCTCACACGAGGCGACCACCGTCACCCTACTAGCGACAGAGAGCCATACTACTCGCAGAACAGGCCTGCAGGTGACGTTTAAAGCTCCACAATTTTACTGAAAATCTAAGAAAATTATTAAACAGAATTTAATAATATAACTGCAGAGCACAAGCAGTTTAAATATACTAAGAACGTGTTGCCAAAATCGAACGGATACTTTATATGTTTATTAATTTATCTTACCTTGATGGACCAATTACTTACCTGTCCTTAATGGCCGTAAGCTCCAATCGGTATTTCCCGGTAAATCCGATCACGATCCTTTACAACATTTGGCCGACACCAACGCGCATCATCGCATCCACTCAGCACTTGCTTCCTCTTCTCTAAATTGAAGGGCTTCTAGGGAAACTATTTTCTTGCGGACCGCGTTGCGGTTGGACTTCACTGTTCTTCTCCTTCTTTTTCTCTTTTAACCCCTACTACGAGAAGATGAAACACCTATGTGGCACTCACTCTCCTACTATCGGTTGTCGCTGCATTAAAACCGCTGCCGCTTTCTTTCACCGTTTTCTTTTTGCTTCTCTTTCTACTCTCTTCGTCTCACAGAATTTCACCACCGCTTTACTCTGTATTCCTTTAGGGTGCTCACTCACACACTACTGTTTGCCGCTATCTTTTTGGCTTTTTATTTTCCCCGCACTATCAGCTTCTTCTTTTTTTCCCCTTTCCTGCCTTCTCGCACTCGAAATTATCGCTACCGTTCGGCGTGGAATCCACAATTTCCACTCTTAAACGCAGCTACCCTTGCGCTCCCCTCGCACACATATGCACACTGGGCCTCCCCGCATAGACCCTTCGCCCCTTCAACAGCAATCCTGCCAAAAACAGTCTCAATCACGCTTTTTCTTTCTGCTTCTATCACCGCCACCGATTGAAACCGTCACGCAAGTTATAGCGCATCACCTGCGGATGTTAACCGCCACCTTATCTTCGTATCACTCCACCAATCCGCTTCCTAATCCGTATTACCGGACCAGCCTTCCGTCGAACACTTTCCTCGAACCAGCAACAGCCTGAACGCAGCAGCAAACAGCACACACGTCCGACTCAGTCGGTAGTCACTCACGTGTCGGGGTGAATGCCGTGTATTGGCTGAAACCTTGTACGGATTTAAATGTCTTCTCAAGTATCTTACTGAGAAGCAGCACAATTTTTTTTACTTACGACACCAAAACTGAACGTGTGTTCAAAGTTGTCATGAAAGGACTGCCCAGTGTTGAATCCCTGGATCAGATCAAAGATGAACTGGCAAAATTACATGGAGTTGTGCCACTCCAAGTAATCAAAATGAAAATGAAATCCCGTCCTGGCGATTCACGCAACGGGATTTCTAATGATTTTTATTTAGTTCACTTCAAGTCTAGTGAACTAAACAACCTTAAGGTCTTGGGAAAAGCTAGCCTTAGGCTCCATGTCCGAGTGAAGTGGGAACACTTCAGCAAGACTGGAGGAAATTTCCAAAACCTCACCCAGTGCCGTAAATGCCAGGGATGGGGTCACGGAACGTAAAATTGCTACATGCCAGCTAAATGCATGAATTGTGGTGATTCCTCTCACGCAAAGGCCGAATGTCCTGTGAAGGAAGATCCTAAGAAATTTAAATGTTCAAATTGTGGTGAAAACCACAAATCCAATTTTTGGTAATGTAAGACTCGCAAAGCGATCCTACAATCTCGTTCTAAGCGGCAGGTAGGAAACGCTCCACGTTTCCGAACAGGTACAAATTCCTCTGCTGTTAACAACGGTCAGCGAGGAACAAATTCTACATTCGTACCCGTAAGTACAAATATCACCCCTGCTTCAAATTTTTCATCTCTGCTCTGCTCTGCTAATAATGATCAGCGATGTTCAGCGAGGTTATGAAGCTACCTATGCTGCTATTGCACCGGGTAGAAGTCAAAATACTAACCAACGTAATTCTAACGGATATTTTGAAACTTTTGACTTACACTGAAACAAGGGCCATAGTTAGGGATACTATTTTGCAGAAAACACAAAACACAGAATAACCACGATTATTACCGTTAAATCTAATATGAATTCAGTATATTTGACTATGAATTTTAACAAATTTACAATGATTCTGGCAAAACTACTATGCTTGCTCAAAATGCATAGTAGTTTTGATAGAAATAATAGTAAAATTAAATGAAATAGTTTTCTGCAAAAATCTATTGGTGAAGTTTTTTTAATTTAAACCTGCAACATAGTATTTTCCAATGGATTGTATTTCAGTGTAGGAAGCATTACTGCTCCTAAAATGGAATTTTTACAGAAATCATTAATTGACATGATTACTGATATGCTTAAATCTAACTCCATGTTTAATGCTATTGAAACTGTAAGAAAATTTGCAAACAATATTGTCATGACTTTGAAATTCAGCAATGGATTATAAATCATTATATATTTTAAATTGGAATGCTCAATCTCTTAAAGATAATGAAGACGAGCTATTTCACTTTTTGAGAGTTCATAACGTGCATATTGCCGTTATAACTGAAACGTTCCCTAAACCTGACCATAAGGTTAAGAAGGACACACATTATTTCATTTATAGAAATCATCGTCTTGATCGACCCTGTGGTGGCGTTGCCATCATTGTTCATAGACGAATCAAACATAAAATTCTTTCTTCATTTGAAACCAAAGCTTTTGAAACTTTGGGAGTTTCTGTTGAAACAAAATTTGGACAACTTACGTTTATAGCTGCCTATTTACCATTCCAATGCGTAGGCCAGAAAAAGAATTTTCTCGAGGGAGACCTTCAGAAACTTACCCGTCATATGTCTAAATTCTTCATTATTGGTTATTTTAATGCAAAACACCGCTCATGGAATAATGCTCAAAGCAAGTCCAATGGTAATATTCTGTTTGATGATTGTTCTGCAGGTTATTACACTATTCAATATCCAAACAGCCCAACATGCTTTTCTTCAGCAAGAAATCCCTCAACTATTGATTGGGACTGATTCATGTCAACTTTGTAGCCAATTGGTTACCCATGCTGACTTCGGTTCTGATCACCTTCCAGTAACTTTTGAAATAATTTCTAATCCCAAAAGCTCTACTTTCAATTACCATAGAGCTGATTGGGAGCAATATCGAACATTTATGGAATATAACTTCGATCCAAACATTCCTTTGCAAACCAAACATGAAATTAATTATGCTCTTGAATCTCTGACTACTTCTATAGTTGAAGCAAGAGCTGCCTCACTACCAAAATGCGAGGTTAAATTCGATTCAATTATAATAGACGACGATCTTCAGCTCTTGATCCGTCTTAAAAATGTCCGTAGGAGACAATATCAAAGAACACGCGATCCTGCCATGAAAGTTATCTGGCGGGATTTGCAAAAACAAATTAAAAAACGATTCTCTGCCCTGAGGAACAAAACTTTTGAAAATAATGTTTCTAAATTAGACCCGAGTTCCAAACCCTTTTGGAAACTCACAAAAATTTTGAAAAAACCTCAAAAGCCTATTCCAGCGCTTAAAGAAGGGCATAATTAAGGCACGGTACTTGATAAACTAGCAGCGAGCACTTTCTCAAACCTTTACTCACATAAATAGACAAGCCAAGCAGAAAACAGCAATTGAAAGAAGAATATTTACAAACTGACAAAATGAAAGATGTTGAAGCCATGGCAGAAAACTACAAATAAAACGCGCAATCCCGACCACTCACCTTGCTTTTCCGGATCAGCCAGACGGGACACATTGTTGGCCGAGCGCAGCGTCGAGTACAGAATGCACAACATCCAGATGACCAAGCCGATGATGCTCGTTTTGTCGAAGTGAACCTTATTTTGCTTGTCGCCGATGATTCCCAGGAATCCCGGGTTGCATTCGGTATCCGGATTGTTGGCCACGGCCGACCAAGTCAAATAGACTGTGTACAGCGTTACCATCGAGCTTTGTAGCAGGCCCGACTTGGGTGCGTGCTCCTGGATCTTGGGCCAAATCGATATAATGCTGATTCCCAAGCACAGGATCATATTGAACGTGATGAAGAATTTGTTCAACGAGCAATTGTCGGCTTCGGTAAAGTAAACGTAGAGCAGTGCGATTCCGGTCAGCGAAAGAGCATATTGCAAGCCGGTGACGCAGCACAACGCAGCGAACCATCCGCGTGATTCCTCTTCCTCGTAGTTGCTAACCCAGGCTTCTGCCCACGAGTGGGCAAAATCTACGATGTAGACCAATTGTACCAGGATGAAAGCAAATCCACCAATCAGACCGACCCACATCCAAGCCGGACCGAATCCAGTCTCCGGAATGAAGAATGCTCCAATGGCGATAGCGGCCACGATCATAAACTTAATTCCCCAGAACCCGTTTTGCAGGGCAGCACGTGGATCCTTGGACGAACGAACCCCGACCATCATGAGGGCCCAAAGTGCAAAGAAGCAACACAAGGCAAAACAGATGCGATAGACGGCCAAATAGCCTACGGCCGAGCTGCAGTCAAATTCCACACTCTAGTGTTGTGTCCATTTTCTTTGATTTTTCCTACTCGGGATCCCACGTAAGCGTTCAGTTTTTCCTTCGTACATAGCCAAGCCAGACAAATTTTGGAATCAGTCCAGAAGAAAGTTGATATCACTTCTACTTCTAGTTCTTCTTGTACCACCTTCATCATCTGACTAGACAGAACGCATCCTTGCAACTCTAGCCTGGGAACAGTTTGCGATTTGAGAGGTGCCACTCGTGACTTGGCCACAACTAAAGCAACATGTTTTTTGTCCAAATATCGGTGCACCATGTATATCACGCTAGCAAAGGCTTTGTCACTTGCGTCCGAAAAAGCATGGAGTTCAACACTGTGAAATGACGGAACATCAGGAACGTAATACCTTGGCACTCGAACCTCCGTCAGCTTCGAAGTTTCTTCAAGCCATTCAGTCCATTTCGTAATCAGACCATCAGGTATTTTATCATCCCAGTCAACTTGCAGGCGCCACAAATCTTGAAACAATATCTTCAAATGGATTGTGATTGGACTAAGTACATTTAATGGATCAAAGATACCCATCATGAATTGTAGTAACTGCCGCTTGGTAGGAATATCAACTCCGGAACGGAAAGCTATATCAAGTTTCGGAAAGTCCAAGGGGAAACCTTGTTTGTGTGCCTCTATAACATTCTTTGCTAGTTCAATTGCTTCTTTTTCGGTGTCAGTTGAATCAAAATAGTCATCAACATAGTGCTGTCTGACTATTGCACGTTCTACTCCAGGAAAACGCTCTTCTAGTTTCTTCGCATTGAAATTCTTTATAAACTGTGCAATCGAAGGAGATGACACAGCACCGAAAATAATAGCCACCATCACGTATACTGCGGGAGCTGAAGTACGGTCCATGCCACGCCAGATTTTTTTTTTTTTTTTTTTTCTTTATTTTTGTGATTTTTAGCCGTAGGCTAGTTCATCACATACAGCCACGCCAGAAGAAACGCTGAGAGTTTTGATCCAGCCATCGAATAAGCACTTGGTGAAACATTTCTTTGATGTCTGCCATGAAAGCGACCTTTTTCTGCCTACCTCTCATCAGTACTCCAGTCAAAGATGGAACGAAATCTGGTCCTTTCAGCAACAAATCATTCAAGGAGAAACCATGAGACTTGGCTTTGGCGTCCATTACCAATCGAAATTTGTTAGCACTCACAACACTAAAATGCGGCAGATACCAAGTATTGGGTGTTTCAGCTAGCTCTTCAGGTTTCAGCTTCCTTGCATAGCCCTTTGCAACGTAATAATCGATCTTCTGACAATACTGCTCGGCAAACTTCGGGTCAGCGTCCATCTTCTTTTCCATAATAGCCAGACGACGAAGTGCTTGAGGCTTGCTGTCTGGGAACGTGAAGTTGTTGTATTTATACACTTGACCAACCTCAAACCGATCTCCACAACGTTTCAGTGTCCGGTTCATGATATCCAAAGCTATCTCGTCTTCTTCAGACATCTTTGTACCCTGCTGTTTGATGCCAAAATCTTCAACCTTGTAAATCTCCTTTATCAGCTCTGTCAGTTCCAGGTCCTGATCGTTGCTGCAGAGGAAAACGTGAAATTGGTCAGCAATATCCACTGTTGCAGGTTCGATTTCACCATGGATTGTCCAACCAAGATGACAGCGCGTCAATTGCAAACCTCTTGTTGAATACTGCACAGTTTTCAAAGGGACCATTAGACCAGCGTTGTTGGAACCGATCAGCATTTTCGGAGCTTCCTTTCAATATCGATGCTTACTCGTGGTAGGTTGATGTTGCTGATGTTGCGTACGTTGTCCATTTCATACCACTTAGCTTGTTCGTTTGGTCCAGCAATATGGAGAGACAGTAGCATTGACTCATCATCCTTATGCGAAATTCCATTCGTCCAGCGGTACGTTACAGGAGATATTGGACCACGTAGTTCCATTTGTTCAGAAGTTCCGCATCGATCATGGACAGAGAAGATTCTTCGTCGAACAGAGCAAATACGTCTTGAACTGCACCGTTGCTACGAATCCTAACTTTTCCGACACAAAGAAGAGTGTTCACGCTTCTACCGTTTACATGGCAAAGATCTTCGGTAGTTTTCTTCTCGAACTTGCGTACTGGTTTCTTGTATTCCTTATCCGAATGTACCAATTCATGGTGATTCTTGTCACACACCGAACAGGTTCTATCAGATCGACAGTCACGACGGGAATGGTCTTGCTTCAAACACACATAACATACGTTGCAGGATTTCGCAGCAGATCGACGTTGCTCTACGGAAAGTTTAGCAAACTGCTCACACTTTGCCAGGCTGAAATGATCGTTCGAGTTGCATAAAGGACAATTTCCTCTCTGGTTTGTTTCACGAGTGTTGACGTTCAGAACAGGTGGCTATGATCTTGTGACCGACACGAATTGCTGATCCTTGCGATCCTTTTTGCCAAAGAAATGGGGATTGATACTTGCCAATTGGTTTTCCATTTCATCCTCCAACCAACGCGAAAATGCTTCGAAATGGGCCATCTTGCAACAAAGCCTTGTGCCGCACCCACATTTGCTTGCTAAAAACAGGTAGCTTGTCGGCCAAATGGGAGATTAGTTCAGGGTTCATCAGATACATTTCGACCTTGACATTTTTCAGCGCTACCGCAGTTCCGATAACAGTGTTGAAGAATGAACGGAAAGATTCAATATTACCGTCCTTGACAGAATCCAGGTTTCTGAGCAGTTCCATTCTGTTAGCCACCACCCACTCGGTGCGTCCAAAATTCGATTTCAGCTTCTTCATTATCAGGCCAACGTTCTCTGGAGCAGACAGCAGAGTGTGCAATGTTCCTTCTTCCTTAAGGAAACATTGCGGTGAACAACACTACGCACTCACTTTGGCGCGCTCATCACAACTTACTCGCACGTGCGCATGGAGACTCAGGCGGTTATCTTCAGTCGCGAGGACTTAGATTCGCCGTGGGAGGAGTTCTTCAGTTAGCGGTCTTTTACGACTGGTTACAGTCGAAAATCGCTTTGAGGAAAGCTGAGTCTCTGGTTGGAAAAAGACTGTTTTATTCTACAAATTTCATTGGTTTTATAGCCTTCGGTTTACAACAATTTACATTGAATTTTCCTATCTTCTAATGGGTTAGAAAGAGAACGAAAGAGACGCCTGGGACATAATGCTGACAAATATTGATATTTGGGTTTTTGCCCTTGCGCGCCCATCGATGCCTTTGTTTTGATTTATTTTGCTTATGCTGTTTATTGGGGCTGTGGTGCGAGACCATCCCGGTATGCAATTTGAGTCAGCAAAACATGTGTTGGGTTATTATATTGCTACGTTCATAACGCACATGCCTGGCTGTTCCTTAGTTGCGTGTTAAATGGTATGTTTCCGAAATTGCATCGATGGCTGTGCTGGCCATCTGACTGTGATTGAAATGGAAATGTTCTTGCTGGTACTGGATAATTAATTGCATGGGAAGATGCATAGCACACCTCCCCCCTTTTTTTTGAAAGATGTAATGGAATTTGTAATGAAATCTTTCATAATAATTTTCGTATCCCAGAGGTCTTTACATGATTTAAATATAATGTTTTGATTCTATTTTTTATTTGTAAATTTTCTTGAGAATATGATTAATATTAAAATTAATACTTATTTTAACCGAGTTTAATGCACTTCCTCGAGCAAAGCTCGGGAAAATTTCACCTACTTGCTTTTCACTATATTTTTTTTTGATTCTCATTTTTTTTTTTTTGCAAGTTAGGCTCGGTGGGTCTCTTAATTTACTTATCATTTCTAAGTGGTGTATAATATGTCCTTTTTTTTTATAAGTTTTACATTTTTATGATTCTGTTTTTATGTACCGTTGTTGATTTTTTTGAGTTCACTTCTTCTAGTTCACAATTTTGATTTTTTACATCTTTTACTTTGAATGGTCCTATATGATGAGGATCCAATTTCTTTCTGTTTTCATTTGTAATATAAACTAAATCTCCTATAGATAAATTAATTGGATTTATATATTTATTAAGATTTTGTAAGCGATTTTGTTTTTCTTTAATCAAATTTTCTCTTGCTATCAAATTGGATTTCTGCAGTTTAAATTTGAGTTCGTTATAGCATAGTTCTATGTTATAAATGGGTTCAATTTTGTTTTTGAAAATGTCCTGTGGTAAATTTGCTGTTCTTCCGAATACCAATTCATGTGGAGTATAATTTGTATCCGCGTGTGTTGTAGTATTGTAGACAAATGTATAAAATTTAGTCCAATCATCCCAATCGTCATGGTGTTCGTTTGAAAAGGACCGTAGATACTCATTGAGACATCTATGATTTCTTTCTAACGCACCTATAGTTTGTGGATGATATGCTGTGGCGAAATTCTGTTTAAATTTTAGTATTTTTCCTATTTGGTTCAGTATATCATTATTATATTCCGTTCCTTGGTCTGATTTAAGTTCAATAAATTTTCCGTATGTAAGTATAAAGTTCTCAACTAAAGCTCTAGCTATAGTTGTAGCTTCCTTGTTTTGCACGGGTATTATGACCACGTACTTTGTCAGATCGCATTGTATAGTTATGCCATATCGATTATGGTTGTTTGTTCTTGGTGATGGTCCTACTGTATCAATTGATATGACGTCAAATGGTTTAGCAGGTGTTGTTGTCACTATATTGGGTTCTTTAGTATGCTTGCATACTTTATTTACTTTGCATGATTTGCAATCTTTTACAAACCTTGTGATTGTCTTTTTCATACTTCTCCATGTATATTTTTCTTTTAATTTTTTATATAACCTGTTTTGCCCAATATGACCTCCCGTAGATGTCACATGGTAGTCATATAATATCTTTTCAATTTCTTCTGGTTTTGTAATTTTAATTTGTGGCTTGTATAGTAAAATTTCCACATCTTTTAATGTTTTGGTCGCGACCCTTTTAAACGATTCTACTGGTAAAATCGCAAATATTGTATTGCTTGTTGACAT